TTGGACACCGAGACATATGTGCCTGCTTTGCACACTGTGCACAAGGCATCAAGCTGTGCAGAGACAACAGTGTAAATGTTGTAGTACACTGCAGCTGGAGCTATAGGTCAGGGAGTACTCAGAGTTTATTAAACTAACTCACAGCAGTTTTATACACCTAAAACCTAGGAGTTTCCAACCTTAGGCTAGATCAATTCAGAGTTGAGGATTTGAGTCTGAGTTTCTTAAACCTGCTTTGTGAAAGGGACCCCAGGACATGCACTTGGAATATGTATCCTTAATTTTTCATAAACAACTAGATTTTTGTATTTTTTTGGTATTGACCAATAGTATGACCATGTATATATATGGCTGAAAAAAAAAAGAAGCATTTTAAAGGGTTTTGGCAGTTATGTATTAAGTAGGGTGACCAAACGTCCCTATTTCCCGGGACATATCCGTATTTCACGTCCTGTCCCGGGCGTCCCGGGTTTTTTTTTTAGAAAAAAACATAGTCCTTTTCTATAGTGGTCTAATACACTTAGAGCCCATGTTGCCATACAGTACGAGGCATATATAAGATGCTGATGAAGATTCTCAGTCATCCAGGTCATAGTCAACTTCTTCAAATCTTGGAAACCAAGTCCAGTGGATATTTTTCTAATTTTTACAGAATGGCATATATAAGACTTTTAGATGTTTGCGGCTCCAGACAGATTTTTTATTTTTTTTGTCCAATATGGCTCTTGGCAGTTTGGGCTGCCGACCCCTGCACTATACCCTAGTAGCCTCTACAGATCTCAGTCAAATAGACCACCTGTAATATGTGGAGAAATTGAAGATTCTCCCAGCCTATTCTCATTATGAGTTCGTATGAAATCATACAAAAAGTTATGCACCGTAATTTTGTACGTTTTGGACGTTTTTTTCGTTGTATGCGCATCTTACGCACCATTCAAGAACATAGAATTTATAATACGATTAGCCCTAACCCTGACCCTAACCCTAAGATATAAAACAGCAAGCAACGTAGTTAGAGACATGAATAAGTGATTATTGCACTGTTTTTCCCAGTTTTGCGTCCGTCCGCGGATCTGCTTTTTTTTGTCTGTCTGCCAGCGCACTGATCTGGTACAAAAAGTACGAAATAGTGTGCATAACTTTTCGAACGATTTCATACGAACTCATAATGAGAATAGGCTGATATGTTGATTCTCTTGATGTACATGTATTACAGATCCAAGGAGGTAGCCTACTGCTAACATATAGTGGCCACTGGTTAAAGATGTACAGGTCACTGGCCAAACTACCCCTCTAAGCAGTCTAGGAAGGCGGTGAGGGTAATTTAAAGCTAGAATAAAGTCTCAGTGACCTTTTTAATTGTTATACATCATCAGCCTTCATAAACACAATGTATTGTGTGTTTGGCATACCACTTAAAGCTTAATTAGAAGCCCCTTCGCTTAAAAGAAAAAAAAAAAAATCTATTTGCACAACATACGTGTGGGTTCCTTTAAATCGTCACCACTTGTATTTTTTTTAGAGCGCAGGAGGGAAATACGGAGCCAAACGGTGTTAAAGCGCATCCAGACTGTGGCGCGCTGACGCTCCCCTTTAACATCAGCAGCAACACGCGGACAGACTGACCAGCTCCCCTCAACCACTAGAAGCACAGCTGCTGCGTGGATGCGTGGAAGACACCCCCACCGCACTGGGTGGAAGGGAATGAAGTTTTCCAAGAGACGAGCCTGGATCCAGCTGTGAGAAGATGCGTTTCCCCCTCACACAAGTTGCTCTTTGGATTTGCTGATTTTTTATTATTTTTTTATGTTTTATTAATTTATTTTTTCAAGTTATTCTGCGGGGACAGGGAGGATGCTCCCACAAGTCATTCGGATTCTTTATGTCTTGTCTTTTTGCGTCTTCCAAGGAGGATTCATCAGGTAAGAAGATTCCACAGTTTTAAATCGGGTGTTCCAATTATTTGCAAAGACTTGACATAAACTTTTTCGACTATAAACTTAACTCGACTTCACCAGCATAAATATAATTGATCACAGACTATATATAGATACGAAATATTTTTTTATTTATTTATTTGTATTTCATCAACTGGAGCCTTCCAGCGCGCAGCTTTTCCAACCCAGCTTTTTACGCACCTCAAAACCTCCCCTCAAAACCCGAATAAACACATTTCCCGAAGAACTCTACCTTATAATTAATGAAATAAACATCATCCCCGAATAATGGATATGACTTAGTTAGATAAACACTATGAGCATGTTGGTAGAAATAATGGAGAGATTTTGGGAATGTGGTAAATCATTATCAGCATGCCCACTGGAAATGTGCATTTTGGTTATCATGTTTTCTCATCTTAAAATGAAAAACTAAACAAAAAAAAAGGGGTAATAAAATTTTTTTTGGATGAAAACATTTAAATTATCTTAATCAGAGAAAAAAAAAATCTTTAAATATAAATATAGACAAAAAGGGAGAAGCAGAAACTTAACTTAGGATTAAGTGTTTTCCCTTATTTTGGCTGTAACATAAAATCAAAACAGAACTAAACATTATTCGTTCTACATTAACTACCGGTAAGTATATGACTATTTTTTTCCATAGTCCTTAAACAAGCTTTGGACATTAACTGGTCCATGGCTCTATGGAGTGCATGGTTATTTGTCCCATGTGTCCTGTGATGCACTGGTAACCTGGCCAGGGTGTACCCTGCCTATTGCTCAATGACTGCTGTAAATAGTTACAAGACTTCCATTGCTCTTTAAGTCAAGACGTTTTAGATAATAGAGTGGAGCACTTCTTTATATACTATTTAAACATTTTTTTTATCCATATCTGCATTTTTTTTCTTACTACTTTAAACATAACAATAAAGCAATCCAAATATACATTTCTTTTCTACATTTGACCACATCAATCAAAAAATATAGTATGTTAAATTTATAATAAAATAGTATTTCGTTTTTATTCCTGGTGTTTAATGAGAACATCCAATTACCAAAAGAATGTATGGAGACTAAACACTGGGGTAAATCGATGGTATTGCAGGACATAGTAATGCTGTTGTGCAGGAACTGAATATGAATGAAGTCTAAATGCCGTCATCTTCTGCTTTATCTGGAGCCATGTTGAGGGGGCAGCAGTCTTTGCAGAGATTCCCAACCTTCCCTCCTCCTGAGACACCTCCAGCTCCACTGGGGGAAGCCCTAGGTGCTCCCAGGCCAGTTGAGAAATATTTCCTCCAGCCTGTCCCGGGTCGTCCCCTGGGCCTCCTCACCAGTGGGATGTACCTGGAACACCTCCTGAGTGAGGCATCCTGGGGACTTTGAACAGAGCTGTTCAAGTCAGCTCAGCTGACTCCTCTGGATGTGAAGGAGAACTGGCTCTACTATGAACCTCTCCCAGATTACTGAGTTCCTCACCACATCTCTTGCGGAGAGCCCAGCCATCCTGCAGAGAAAACTCATTTCAGCGTCTTGTATCCAGGATCTCGTTCTTTTGCTCATAATCCAGATTTCATGACCATAGGTGAAGGTAGCAATGTAGAACGACTGGAAAACCGAGAGCTTATAAGGCACGTGTTCATTTTTATTTTATACAGCTATAGCAAAATTATTGATTATTGATCCAATTCATTAATTAAATTCCAAAATTCTATTTCTGTGTATGATTATAGCTGACATGTACAGTATATAGCTTACAGTAAATATATAGATAGATAGATAGATAGATAGATAGATAGATAGATAGATAGATAGATAGATAGATAGATAGATAGATAGATAGATAGATAGATAGATAGATAGATAGATAGATAGATAGATAGATAGATATACTGTTACAAAATGTTTATAATGTGACTTTTGCATAGTATGGAACTTATTAGATGAGTCAAATCTTGAATTGTCTCAAATAAAGTCATTCATTCCTTATTTAATGTTTTCATTAAATCCTTCATTAACTAAAATTTGAAAGTCTGGAAGAAGTTGGCAACACAGAGATCAGACCTGTCGGAAATGTTTCTAAAGCGGAAATCTGTATATATCTTACACCAATTGCTCAAATTAATGCAGAAAGATCTAAGCTATAAACCTTTGGTTCCATAATTCCAGCTGCTTGATCGGAAAGCACACATGGCTATGAACTCAGCTGACAGACTAAAAGACATAGCAACAACTCAGGGGGCCTTTATGATGTGTTTCAGATGCAGGACCTGAAATGAGTTATTGATAGACCCCATTAGAGAGTTAAGCCACAAAAGCTTAAAATTAAAGAAGATTTCCTTTTACATTTCTACAGAGTGCTATATCCAGGCACATTAATGGAACGCTGAGTTGGATGAAAAAAATGTAGTTAAAAACAGCATGCTAATAGGAGGAATAATTGCAGCATAGTTTATGGGGTGATTTGCAATGTACAGAGTACAGCTGGAGATAAGACTTCAGGACTGTATAAAGAGTAATATCTTCTTTAAGTCTAGTTCTGGTCTTTGTGTTACCATACTGCTCCATTAACATAAAGAGTAATACTTTTTTGCAGACAAACTCAGCCGAACTTATACTTGTTTCCATCAGCCGAAGCACTAAACCCTAAAGATAAGAAGTTGAGCGTTTTCCATTTACATTTTTTTTTTTTTTTTTTATGCGCATAACTTAATATGCCAGTCTGGTGATAAATTTATTTAATTTCTCATCTTTTCTTCTATTTCAAAAGGGGCCCTTTACAGTTGCAAACATTGCTTATAGCTCTGGGAAGCTCCTGCAGGCAATAAGGGACATCCCCAGAGGTTTCAGAAGAAGAAAATCACATCTTATTATTGTCCTGTTACTTATTAATTTCCATTTGTCTTCATCTATTCTACTTTCCTGATTTTTAAACTTTCTTAGCTTCTTTCTTTTTCTCACTTAGTGCCAAAAAACTTTTTGTTCAGAGTGAACACTTTCCTTATTTCATGCCCTGCCACCCTCAGGTGTGAACGGAAGGGAATTAAGATCTGCATAATCCCGGAGCGGAACAGAGCTGTGACTCTGTGAACCCAGGGGCAAAGAGAGCAGCTCTCAGCCCGCAGAAGCAGTCAACTGACAGCACCTCCTATGAGGAATGATATGCTCTCCTGCTGGCCTTTTTGCTCACTACATGAGGGAGGAGGGAGCGATACGCAGGCATGGAGCAAAAAGGAAGAGATTAAGGAAGGAGGGCAGCCGTAAAAGACAGGAAAAAAGGAGACAGAGGTGGGGAACGGGAAATTATGAGAATGAACCGTGCTGAAATGTGGGTGAAAAAGAAACAGAGGTTGGTAGACTTGGCTGCAGGCAGCCGTTAGACCAAGGCTGGCAGATGGACAAAAATGGCATTACTATGTTGGAAAGAGCGGAGATTGTAAGAAACTCCAGGTGTACATGGGAATACAAAATAAAACACTTCATTTTTATGGCTTTTACAAATAAAAACAGTTCCTGGAAGGCTGTTAACAGACGGAAATGGGGGATGAATAATTTACTAATTATTACAGTGGTCTGGCTAAGATGGTTGGAGATATAGATTGCATTAAGCAATCTGTGTGTGTGTCAAAAGAAAGTGTTGTGCCGTGCACTTCATGTTAGTTTACAGTATATAGTCTGTCAAATGAAAAGGAAAACCTGACTAATTTGTTTGAAATAAGTCACAGCTTTACCAATAAAAAAGCAGAAGAACTAAGAAACTAAGAACATCACATTAATGTTGGCTTATAATCATTTCAATGCAGTAGGGTATTAACTTGTGTTAAACTAGCTGTGATTTCCTCTGGTATCCACACGTTTCTCGCCTAGTACTGAACAACCGATCTTCACCTATGTACAAATATTCAATTTTTTCATCTGCTGGTTAAATGTACAAATCCTGTACTTGGACATTTTTATGTGATTTTTTACTCTAATTTTAGAGTTAGAATTTTAGTCTCTTTTTACTGTGTTTTTTCATGGATTGTTCTATTTGCATTCAGAATTTGAGAGTTTAAATGATGTTTAAAAAACTAACAAACCTCCCCAAAAAAGCAATTTCTACTTTTCACTGCTTGCTAAGTTTGAAGGAATACTGCAATGTTAATGACTTCATGCCATCGTTTGTCCACTGTTGCTAGATTCTCCTTTAGGATCAGGGATTGTGCAAACTCAGTATTTGCACAGTTTTTAGTTTTTTGCACAGTTTTAGTTTTTTTGCAAAAGGTTTACCATGCAAACCCCTTTGCATGGTTTTTAGATGCTCCAAAATTTGTTCCTAAACCCATGCTGTTGGTTATCTATAAATGAGCTAGTTTATTCGCTTGTTGTCTTGAGTATTTTTCATTTAATCCAAGAATACCAGTTGTTCTTTTCTTTTCAGATGTGTTTTTTTTACTTTGCTTTAAAGTCTTGAAACTCTCTTCTGAAAGTCAGCTATCAGTTTTTTTCTGTTTAACTTCTGAAAGTTACTGTAGAAATGAAAATATTGCTGTTCATTAACCCATTCCAAGTTGAAAGAGATTATAACACAAATGTCCATGTCAGGATTTCATGAACAATTTATCTAAATCCTGATTATCTAGTTAATATGGAAATTATTATTTGCTAAAACTACTCATTGATTTTGTTGTGGTTGACCCTGAAATTTTCCCTTTACTCCTTCCTGATCACCTAAGTAATTATTTATCAAAAGAACACTAGCTGCTGTGTGAGATGCTTATCAGAATAATAATACCAGTGCATTCTATGCAATACCAGTTCATTCTATGTATTTTGAAAACATCCTTCCACCAGTCTAAACTAGAAAAGCAGTCAGAGAGTGCAAACTTCCACCAAGCAAGATAAATTGCCCCATATTGTGACTTACACCTATAGCTAAAACTTACACATGATCTGGATCATTACCAATATTAAGGAATTGTTCCTAGCATGAGGTAAAC